AATGAATGGAATCCCAAAATCTCTGTAGATGTTCATTGAAATGAAAAATAAACAAACTAAATTAAAAAAAAAAAGTTGACGCATAATTGCCAATGAAGTTCATATGGTGGAAATCATGATGCCGTGCACCAGCATAGAAAGGGATGAGTTTCAAAGGATTGAGAGGAATATCATAACCACTATGGACATCTATAGTTTCTATTAAATGACAGGTCACCCATGCCCAAAGAAGTACTACATGATCACAGAAAAGTATAATTCCAATGAAAAATCCAGTTCCAAGAATTTTGGTTTCTGCAGGATGTGCATATTCAGCTTCCATTCCAAATGGAGCCTGAAACTCATGATAAACTTTATGAATGTATTTATATATTCTTTTGTGGTCTAAGAGTCGATGCAGGAAATAGTGCCAGGTGTCCTCAATCACAGCACAGAAAAAGCATCTTAACAAAAGCATAGACCATCTTGGCATTGCTTCCCACTCATAAGGAATATTGAAATACTCTGTAAAATAGTAAGTTCCACAGATTAAAGGCAGCTGGATAAAAAAGTGATTAAAGAGAAGTGCTTTAAAACATTTCCACGGGCCTTCCAATGATTCTGTTCTATCCTTCTGAATTTTGTGCTTCTTCATATAAGGTATAAATTGAAACAAAAACCCAGGTAAAGAAATTAAGAAATAAAGAGCCTCATGAACAATAAGGGAGCCCCATGTTGCAATCTGGAACTTTGTATAATTACTCAACATATAGTTCCAAGCATTTTTAAATGGTTCCTGCAGAGGATTCTGTGGTAAAAGGGAATCGACATACTCCACAGCCAGGAAAGCAGAACTAAAGATGCCGACACTTTCATTTGTTGCCATTTTCCAAATCTCTGTAGACAGCCTGGTGATTCGATTCTGACACCGGAGCCGGCGTCCGATGCCTGTGCTCTGCTTCACGCCCAGACCCCGCTGCCCACCACACGCGGAGAATTGGGTCCAAACTCGCCCACTTGCCTCTTCCTCGTGGACAAGCTGCTTCCTAAATTTCTAACCTGGACTGTAGCGCTGCAATTACTGACCACCGGCACCGGGATATAGCCAGGTGCCTTGGTCTCAAAACTTGCTTTTCGGGGCTAGGGGGTGGAGCCACATCGAATATTTATTTCTTAAGACAAGTTAGTTTCTTCTTTAAGGGATCTCTGGTGACATAATGCATCAGTCACTTTACAAAGATTGTACCTTTCTGGTGTTCAGATGCACCTGTAGGTAAATATGGGCAATCTCCTCCTAAGCAATTTGCAGTCTTGGAATCCCAGGGTTTCCAAGGGTCAGCTATGAGTTTGAGTCTTTCTTTTGTTCCAGCTGAGACTAATAGTTGCATTTTAGATGGCTACTTATTTTTAAGATCCCGTAAACTGCACACAAAACCAGGAAAAGAGCATAAACTTAGTGAACTATATTTATGACCTCACTATTCTGCCAGCAAGCCAAGGTCAAGGCTCTTGGCACTGGCTCTGTGTAGTGTAGATGTAGCTCAGCTTTCTCACAATGGTCTCTGATTTTCTAGTACTGTCACCACTGCTGGTACTAAAGTTCTTGTGTCTTGTCATCATGCAGCCTTGTGCAAGAATTTCTGTCCTAAAAGATGTGCTGCACACAGCTACTTCTTTTTTTCTTATTTATTTGCATTGTGGTTTAAATGAAAGTTTACAAAGCAAACTTGTTTTCTGTTCAATCACCCACAGACATTTTGTTTGATAACTTTAATTATTAAATAGCCACAAAATAACCAAATTTGGGCTGAAGGAAATGAAGCCCAAAGGTACTAAAATGTTTCTTTGAGGCTATCTTACCTGAATTTAAAAATTATCTTAAGAATAGATTTGGAGTATTGAGCACCAATAGTTGACAATCAGATGAGTTGTGGGATGACATCAAGGAAGAGCTCACTCAACATTTCTAAAGTGAAAAGAACTGAAAAACAAATTCAAACCCTAAGCTGCAATACTGAAAGATGCTTATAGAAAGGTCTCAAATGATCCAGGAAACATCAAAAGAAAATCGAAGGAATACACATAGTCACTGTACCAAAAAAGAATTGTTCAACACTGAAATATATCTGTATGCACCATATAACCCACTGGGCCAATTGGTAGCGTCATGATAAATGGTGAAAAGACCGAGATTGTTAACAGCTTTAGTTTGCTTGGCTACACAACCTACACTCTTAGTACCAGCAGCCAGGAAATTAAAAGACAAATTACATTGAAAAAGTCTGCTGTTAGAAACCTCTCCAAAGTACTGAAGAGCAATGATGTCAGTCTGGAGACTAAGGCATGCCTGATCCAGGCCATCTTTGCAACGACTTGCTATGCATTAGAAAACTGGACAATGACTAGGGGTGATGGAAAAAGAATTAATGTCTTTATGATGTGGTGCTGGAGAAGAGAATTGCATATACTATGAACTGTTAAGTGAACAAACAAGTTCATCCTAGAGAGGGTGAAATCAGGCTGCTCGTTGGAGGCAAGGATTCTGAAGCTTTGTCTGACCTACTTTTGATATGTTGCAAGGAGAGACTAGTCCTTGGAGAGGGCCATCATGCTTGGAAGCATGGAGGGACAGCACAAGAGAGAAAGACCCTTGATGAGAGGGATTGAGTCAGTGACTGGGGTAATAGGGGTAGGTGTGTCAGAGACAATAATATTGACACAGGTTAGAGCGGGGTTTAGGGCTGTTGTACATAGAGTTGCTATGAGTCGCAGGCAACTCGATGGCACATAACAACAGCAACCACCATATAATCAAGAGCCAATGGAAATGAAGGAAGAAGCTGAAGTCACACTGAAGGCACTGGCAAAAAAAAAGGCGCAGGAATCAATAGACTATTAAATTACATGTTTCAACTAACAAATGCAGACATGGATGTGCATCAGTCAATGCCAGAAAATTTAAAGGACGGGTGTTAGGCCAAATGATTGGAAGAGATCTATATTTGTTCACATTCTAAAGAGTGTAATCCAATAGAATGTGGAAATTCTTGAACAATATCATTAACATCACATGCAAGCATAATATTACTGAAGATCATCCAAAAGCAACTAGAATGGTACACTGACAGAAAGTTTGGAAAGTGTTTAGAGGAGGCAATGGCACCAGAGATATCTTTGCTGAAGTCCGATGGATCCTGGCTGAAAGCAGAGAATACCAGAAGAATGTATATTTGTGTTTTATTGACGATGCAAAGGCATTTGACTGTGGATCATAACAAATTTTGGCTAACATTGAGAAGAATGGGAATCACAGAAAATATAATTGTTCTCAGTGAAACCCATACCTCGACCAAGAGGCTGTTGTGAGAGCAGAGCAAGGGAACACTATATGTTTAAAATTTTTAAAGGTATACGTTCAGGCTTTATTTTTTCTCTCTAGCTGTTCAATTTATGCAAATTCAAGCTGAAGCTGAGGAAAATTAAACCAAATCCAAGGCAACCAAAATATGACTTTGAGTCTATCCCAGCTGAATTTCAGAACCATCTCAGGAACAGGTTTGAAGCTTTGAACACTAATGAGCGAAGTCCAGATTAGTTGTGGGAGGATATCAAGGGTATCATCCAGGAAGAGTGAAAATGGTCATTGCAAAGACAGAAGAGGAAGAAAAGACCAAAATGGATGTCAGGAGATACTCTGAAAATTGCACTAATGGATGTCAGAAGATACTCTGAAAATTGCACTGGAGCGCAGAGAAGCCAAAGCACAAGGAAGAATTCAAGATACTAAAGAGTTGAATAGGAGATTTCAAAAGGCAGCAAGGGATGACAAAGCAAAATATTACAATGAAATGTGTAAGGAGTTGGAGTCAGAAAATCAAAAGGGCCGAACTCGCTCAGCATTTCTTAAGCTCAGGGAACTGAAGAACAAATTCAAACCTCAAGTTGCTATAATCAAGGATGCTTTTGGCAGAATGTTAAATGATCCAGGAAGTATTAAAAGAAGATGGAAGGAATATACTGAGTCACTGTATCAAAAGGAATTGGAAGACGCAGAAGAATTTCATGAAACAACATATGAGCAAGAGCCTATGGTGATGAAAGAAGAAGTTCAGGCTGCTTTGAAGGAAATGGCAAATAATAAGGCCCAGGAATAGATGGTATACCAATTGACATATTTCAGTTAACAGATGCTGCCCTGGACGTGCTCACCAAGTTGTGCCAAGAAATCTGGAGAACAACCACTTGGCCAGCTGACTGGAAGAGATCGATATTTGTTCCTATCCCAAATAAAGGTGACCCAACAGAATGTGGAAACTACAGAAAAATCTCACTGATTTCACGTGCAAGCAAGATTTTACTGAAGATTATCCAAAAACGACTGGATCAGCACATCAACAGAGAACTACCAGAAGTCCAGGCGGGGTTTAGAAGGGGCCATGGTACTAGAGATATTGTAGCTGATGTTAGATGGATCTTGGCTGAAAGCAGGGAATACCAGAGGAATGTCTATCTGTGTTTCATTGACTATGCAAAGGCATTTGACTGTGTAGATCATAACAAGCTATGGCTGACTCTGAGAAGAATGGGAATCCCAGAACACTTGATCGTTCTAATGCGAAACATATACTTGGAACAGGAGGCAGTCATCAGAACAGAGCAAGGGAACACTGCATGGTTCAAAATTGTGAAGGGCGTACGCCAGGGATGCATCCTATCTCCATACCTTTTCAACCTATATGCAGAACAGATTATCCGGGAGGCTGGGCTCTATGAGGAGAAATGTGGGGTCAAGATTGGTGGATGACTTATCAACAATCTGCGTTATGCAGATGACACAACCCTGCTTGCTGAAACTGAAGAAGACCTGAAGTGCCTGCTGCAGAGTGTCAAGGACTGCAGCCTACAATACGGATTGAGGCTCAATGTCAAGAAGACAAAGATTCTCACCACTGGACCAATTGGCAGCATCAGGATGGATGGTGAAGAGATTGAGATTGTACACAGCTTTAGTTTGCTTGGCTCCATAGTCAACAGTCTTGGCATCAGCAGCCAGGAAATTAAAAGGCGCATTGCATGGTAAAGTCTGCTGTTAGGGACCTCTCCAAAGTACTGAAGAGCCATGGTGTCTCTCTGGAGACTAAGGTGCGTCTGATACAAGCCATGGTCTTCGCAATCACTTGTTATGCATCAGAGAGTTGGACAATGACCAAGGAGGATAGAAGGAGAATTGATGCCTTTGAGCTGTGGTGCTGGAGAAGAGTATTGAGAATACCATGGACTGCTAGGAAAACAAACAGATTCATCCTGGAAAGGGTTAAACCAGGTGGCTACTTGGAGGCAAGGATTCTGAGGCTCCGTCTAACATACTTTGGACATGTTGTGAGGAGAAACCGGTCCTTAGAGAGAGACATCATGCTTGGGAGGCTGGAGGGACGGCGCAGGAGAGGAAGGCCCTTTATGAGGTGGATTTATTCAGTGAATGGGATGATTGGGATGGGAGTCTCAGAGACAGTTCGATTGGCACAGGACAGAGCGGAGTTTAGGGCTGTTGTACATAGGGTCGCTATGAGTCGCAAGTGACTCAACGGCACAACAACAGCTGTTCAATGTGTTTACTGAACAAATCATTCAAGAAGCCGATCTCTATGAAGAAGATGTAGTATTGGAATTTGAGGAAGAAATCATCAACCCTGTGTTATGTACATAACACAACCTTACTTGCTGAAAGTTAAGAGAACTTGAAGTGATTCCTACATAAGGTGGATTCAATATGGATTCAATTTCAACAATATCAAGAAAACAAAAATTCTCACCACTTGACTGATAGACAACATATGATAGATGGAGAATTATTGAAATTGTCAACTATTGTTGACAGCCAACACCTTTGGGACTAATAGTCAGGAAATAAG